ATAGTGCGTGCCTCATCGCGCCCTGATAAAAAAACATAGAGCCAGGCCCCTTCGTTCGTTTAACTCCCAACTTCATTGTGATGTGCTTTTCGGTAATTAGTCAGTAATTGGCCCACCAATTTATGATTAATAATAAATTAGTGCTTTTAGTGGACATATGGAAGCATAAATTGTTGGTTGGAATACCAGTGTCGAGGGGGGATGACAAAGCGTAAAACCAGGGAGAGGTTATAGGAGATGCAGTGTCCAGGCTGAGTTAGTATAGTCTTACCTCACAATTGTAGCCTGGGGATAATCACCTCTTWTCTCCTTACMTATGATGCSCCAGAAGTTCATGTCCTTGTGGTCATATATGATGAAGGCAGCCTTACCAGTCGACCTCGAAGACCCAACCCCTCCCCAGACTTCACAATGGAGTATCGCGGGGAGCCAGTCCTTATCCAGGCTTCACCGTCAATCTAAAAATTTCACGGTCTGAGGTAACTTATCCAAGGCCACGCGTACATGTGAGAGAGGGAAGAATTTGTATGATGTGCAAGATGGATGAATATGGTGATGATAATGGCGTCCTTTCGAGTCTTTCCATACCAATCTAATGGAACACTCAGACTTTTGGAACAGATCCATGAAAACTATCTCACATACACAGAGTGTTTCCTTGGACTCCCCCATCACTGAGAGAGAGGCATGGTTAGCGGCCAAGCAAATAGCCCTAGGCAAATGCCCGGGCTCTGATGGCCTTCCGTTGGAACTCTTCCTCAGTGCTTGGGAGGTTTTTGCCCCTTTTTTATGCAAGATTTTTAACGCAAGTCTACAGACGGGTCTCTGCCTAAAGGCGTAGTCCGATGAATAATATCCCTTCTGTATAAAAAAGGGGACAAACGAGAAGTTCGAAACTGGAGGCCTATTTCAGTCCTGAATGTAACCAACAAACTTTTGGGTAAGATTTTGGCAATCCGTCTGACAGAAATTCTGCCTTCGTTGGTTGGAATAGAGCAAGGCGCCTTTGTCAAAGGACGAACAATTTTTGAAAACATTTTAACTACAATTCGGGCGCTGGAAATCATCGGGAAGGAAAACAGGAACATAGTCATTCTGATGCTAGATATGGAAAAGGACTATGACAAGGTAGGTTGGGCATTTGTCAACACTACCTTGATCAGACTCGGTTTTGGTCAAAAGTTTTGTATATGGATCAAAACCCTATATGCTAACGCTACGACATCAGTGGTAGTGAATGGGAAGCTCTCAGACGACTTTGCATTGACACGCTCCCTGTGCCAGGGATGCCCCCTGGCCCCGCTGATCTTCGTCCTCCAATTAGAAATCTTGCTTGATAACATTAGAAATAATAATGTTTTAGAAGGTCTTAGACTCCCTCTATCCCTTCAATGGAAGGGCGAAGCTATTGCTGATAATTTAACCGTGGCCTGTGTTAATTCCCCGACATGTCTGTTGAAATTGCGTAATGTATTAGATACCTATTGTGAATTATCTGAAGCCTCTATAAATTGGGACAAATCAATATTTTTTTTGCCCTCCCAGTCGGAGTTGAGTAAGGATTGGGGCTTACGCCGCGTCCCCTGCAATGCTTCAGAAAGATTTTTGGGGATTCAGGTTTCCCTTTTTTGACTGTTCTAGATCACAAGACAATATTTTGGTGGGTAAAGTACTCACTAAAATTGCAGGGTGGGAAAAGAATTGCTCCCTCTCCCTCTTTGGTCGTGCGCTGGTCTTGTCTGCAGCAGCCTCCTCTACCCTATGGTTTCCCCTGGCGGTTTGTTTACTTGGAGAGGAGGCCTACAAGAAGATAAAAAGAGCGGCTGCCCGGTACCTTTGGAAGCCGTCGGCGACAGATGAACAAGGTTTTGTATCCAAAGTGGCCTGGGAGGCAATAGCCAAGCCTCGTAACCAAGGGGGCCTGGGGATTTTAGATCCGGTCCATAAAAACATGGCCCTACTGGCCAAATGGTCAACTCAGGCGATGATGGAGGAAGACAGCACTCTGTGGATGAGACTGGCTGAGCATATTCTGGCGAGCGAATGGGGGTTGGACGACCCTTCAAAGGTGTGGCTTTGCTTGATGATGCCTTCATTTACGCAGTGCCGCCTGCATTCTAAAATTTGACGTAGCATCCTATTCGCTTGGAATAAGGTTAAGCCTACGGAATGGAGACGCCCTGCCACCAAAACAGAATGTTTGAACCAACTCTTGTTTGATAATCCCCACATTTTGCAGCGAAACGGGTCCCCGTTTTCAGCGAAGGGAAGAGACTCTAACTTTGGTCGGTCCTGGATCAAAAGAGGAGTCATGCAGATCCAAGATATCTGGGGCTCTAACAATTCTGATTGGATTGAAGAAGGCACCTTGAGGAGGCTGCTTCCAAGGCTTCACAATGTTTCAACTTCCTACGAGTTGCTCCTGGAGGCAATCCCACAGTCATGGACCTATCTTCTTCAAAGCGACTCAGAGAATGCACAGGGCACTTGGCTAAGGTCTCTGACACACAGCAATGAGATATGGAGAGTGGTCGGCCCGGATTTGAACTCGGGCATCAGGGTGCAATCCTGGACCCTTCCCTCTATTAGCCATTCCAGCGGCTTCCTACATGAGACAGGAGAACAAGTGACTCCTAGCACCCTGGGACTGGAAGAAGTACGGGTACTCCTCCAAGAGGATGGGAAAGGGAAAGCGGTAGCTTGGCTGGGGCGCAACGCAGATTCTTACAGAGTAGAGCCAGTGCTCTTCGGATGGAAGGGGCTTACCTCAGAACATTCCTTTACGCCTCTCTGTCACTACAAGACTAAGATTGGTGTGGCTACTCAACGAACACAGTCAGCAGTCAACCCAGTATCTCTAGCCTTAAGAAGGGCTGGCAACCACCAGCTTCAAGATGTCACCGAGAATAAATTAATAACACTGTGGTCGGCCCTGAAGAATATGCCAGCTCAAAAACAAGCAGCTATTATCTGGCTTCAATCGCTTCTGATTACAGCCTCAGCGGTGTGGCTCTCGACGAAAGGAATGGACATCTCTACAATCTGTCAACGCTTTAACTGGGGGTGGGAAAACCAGGCTCACATATGGTTATACTGCCCGTTAGTCGATGAGCTGTTGGAATGGTGGAAGAAATACTGGGCGCAAGTAGGAGGAGATGTCCTGCCATGGACGGACTCTTGGTGGCTGACAGGCCTCCTCCAACCGAGCCTAACTTTCCAAGCAGGAATTGGCTATGTTGCCCTCTGCTGTAGAGGGGCGCTCCTGGAAGTTATATGGACAGCAAGGAACGCAAAGGTTTTCAAAGGAGAAACCCTCTCGGTTCCGCAACAGAAAGCGACGCTCAGAAACAAGCTCCGGTTATCTATTATGGCAGACTGGACCCAGCACCGAACTTCACGTTCAAGGAATCTGACCTGGTTCATGAAGACCTGGGGATCAGAGAGGAAGTGGGCATCTGTCAGACCAGACGGAACAATGACTCTCTCGCCTTGGCTTACAAGTCAAAACGATTGACGACAGTCTCTTGAGAAACCTCACCGACGGGATTTGGTCGATTTTAGACCCTCTCACTAGGTGCTATCCTTTTTTAGCATGTTTGTCATATTTTAGTTTTGGATTTCTTTGTTTTTTTGTGTCTCAAATTAGTTGTTTTTTATCAGTTTTTTTAATCAGCCACGGTATAACTTAGTACCGGTAGTCATCAGGGAAGTTTTCAGGGTTCAAGCCTTAAGCCTTTCACTGATTGGTTGCTCCCGGAGTTGGTATGGGACGCCCAACCTCTATTCTGCTGAGCTCTGTTACTTTTTCTGAGTTCCAAATTTTAGGCCTTTTTGGAAAGCAATGAGATTTAACAGGGACGCTGGACCCGGTTTCCAGCAAGTGGGCTATACGATAAGCTGAACTGGCTGAGGCTGCCAGGATAACACCGGGTTGAATTGTGAGGTCCCCGGCCTCGTCCCTGGTTTTTGCAATATATTGACAACTTTCCAAAAAAAAAAAAAAAAAAAAAAAAAAACGGGTCAATGTACGCAATTATGGGAACCTAATGCAGGCCTACCAGCAGCCCACACAGCAGCCTATTTTCGGCAGCTTGGAACTCGCGTTCCTGCGGCACCATTGCCACTCTACCACCCCTGTCTCTTATACACATCTAGATGTGTATAAGAGACAGGCCTATTTTCGGCAGCTTGGAACTCGCGTTCCTGCGGCACCATTGCCACTCTACCACCCACCTCCCACAGCGTGCCTACTGCGGCGTAAAGCTACTACTACCTTGGGAACCGAGTGCCCTGGGGCAAGGTACCACTTGCACGGATTACGAGATTCTGACCGTTGATCTGTGCTATCTACGGTCAACATCTCTTAATTCGTGTCAGTGGGACCTAGCCCCTGGTTCCCGAAGCTACAACTTTTGAATTCCCTCGAACAAATTTCGGAGAATGCATGGTTTCGAAAGGCTGATACCGCCCACTGCGCCCAGAGGAAGGACACAAGCGGCCTCGCCGCACCACTCACCAAGAGCCCTCCGGACTGGGGCCTGGTTCCATTTGAAACGGACAGAACGAGGACATGTTCGGTCAGTCCGAATGGATCTGGGCCTACTTTTCACCTGCTAGGGAAGATGAGCTGGCAATTCCACGCAATTGGCGGGTAGCGGAGCGAGGTCATTTGTCGCTTCTGCGCTGCTAGGTAGCAGTACTCTGGGGCGTGTTCTCAGAAAGCACGTGGGGTCTTGCTCTGCTACTCCACGTGGACAACAGACGAACAGTATGCCGGGGTTATCTTCCCATGTACTAGGGTGAGATTCATCCTCGTTTTGCACATTTTGCTGAGTATTGGAGGGACGCCCTTGTTCGCTGGGACAGGAGTTGCGCATTCCTTCCTCTTGAGGCAGGCGCTGCCTCGAACGCGAACGCCCACAAAGAGCAGGCAGATGCCCGCCCAGAGTTAGCACGTCCCTCGTCGCGGGCCATCGGTGTAATCAGTAAGTTAGCTGGCGCCGCCGCTCGAGCACTGCCCATGGTCTATCTCTTCCGTCTCGCTCTCCTGACACATCGGTGCTACTTGGCATTCTGCGCACCGAAGCGCTTCTGGAATTGTGCGCTCGCGCGCTGATATATCATCGCGGCTGCGGATGTGTGGAATGTCAGCCATTGCACGTTCGTAAGAACTCCTGGCTTCCTGTGCGCGGCGGCCATCACCACGGAGACGTGTTTCTTCCCTATCACTCCTGCGACGCTGCGGAACAGAGTGAGGAGCCGGAGCGCAGGCAGTGAGAGTTGTTTATTATTGAGATTTGCAGGAGTAGTCGACGTTGCACCGCCGGTAGGTTTGTACGCGATTTTGTGTTGTTGGCGTGATCGAGGGCAGTGGCTATGGCTGAACCTGGCGCTAACGGAGTGAAGGCTACGGGCTCGAAATATGACCATCATGGGTTGGCGTTCGCGACGCGCGCTCTCCATTTCCAGGACGAGAACGATCCGTACGGTGCGAAGAACGCTCCCATTTACCTGACGGCCACTTTCAAGCTTCCCTCCGTGACGAAGGCTGGTTCGTTTCTGTATTCGCGGTTCGACAACCCGACGAGATCGACGCTGGAGAAGCACATTGCTCGGCTTCACGACGCGGACCGCGCGTTTTGCTTCTCGACGGGAATGGCGGCTCTGACGACGGTGATGCAGATGGTGGAGGTCGGCGACGAGATCGTGGCGGATGACGACATCTACGGCGGGACCGACAGGCTGCTCACCAGCCTCGTCACCCGGTGGGGCGTGACGGTGAAGCGCGCCAACACCAGCAATCTGAACGAGATTCGCGCGGCTGTGACGCCGAAGACGAAGCTCGTGTTCCTGGAGATCGCGACGAACCCTCTGCTGCAGATCACGGACATCGCCGCCATCTCGGAGATCGCGCACAGGACCGGCGCGCTGGTCGTGGTGGACAACAGCATCATGTCGTCGGCGCTGTCGAGGCCGTTGGATCACGGCGCGGACATCGTGATGGAGTCGCTGACGAAGTTCATGTCCGGGCACAGCGACGTGATGGGCGGCTTCCTGGCGGTCAGGGGCGAGCAGCTCGCCAAGGACATCCACTTCCTCCAGTCCGCGGAGGGCGCGTGTCTGAGCCCGTTCGACAGCTTCATGATCTTGAGGGGCATGCAGACATTGTCTTTGCGAGTAGAGAAGGCCCAGGAGAACGCGCAGGCCATCGCGGAGTGGCTGGTGAAGCATCCGCTTGTGAAGAAGGTGCTCTATCTGGGCCTGCCCGGCTTCCCAGACAGGGATCTCCATTTCAAGCAGTGCTCCGGGCCGGGATCGGTGCTCTGCTTCACCACGGGAGACGTGGAGATGTCGAAGCTGGTGGCGGACGGCACTGAGGTCTTCCAGAAGACGGTGAGCTTCGGCAGCGTGGGCTCGCTCATCAGCTTGCCGTGCTTCATGTCGCACGCCGCGGTTCCGAAGCCCGTGCGAGAGGCCAGGGGTTTGCCTGACGATCTCGTCCGGCTGGGTGTCGGGATCGAGTTCGTCGGCGACCTCATAAACGACCTGGATCACTCGTTCAAACTAGCCATGGCCAAGCTTGGAGGAAAGGAGGCTCCCAAGTACGAGCCCAGTGCGCCTAAGTCATTCGTATACAAGCCCCGCTTCCAGTAGCACTTCAAACGGTGGGTTTCCTACCCTTCGCGGTTTCCTTTTTCGGCCTTGCGTCCCGACTACTTGTGTGCAGGATAGTCTTACCGATCCCTGGGTGTAGTGCTGGCGACGCTGGTGTCGGTGTAATGTCCAGTTGGGAGTGCGTTTTGTTATGATGCTGTCCGCGTATAGCGAAGCACCCAAGGAGTCCTTATTTTTTTAGGGCTCGGGGATCTTCGGACAGAACTGTATGCTCGAGATGATAGAGAAGGAAGGTAGAGAGGTGGGCGTCGTCGCGACCAGCGTGTTTCTATTTACACGTCAGCTTGACACGTCAGCTTGCAGTTCTCGGCTGTCTGTTTTCACGTCCGGTGCTCGAGGTAACGACGTCCCCGGACAGGTGTCGTATTTCCGACAACCTCGGATCTTTGCTGATCGCTCTCCTCTTCATTGTGATCATGCGTGTAGGAATATGATGAAGCCAGGCAGGAGTGTAGAGGACACACACTAGTTTGAACGGGCGATATCTAAGAGAGGGAGGAGGTGGGTCGGTTTTTCATGGAACAGCTTCAGATCATCTGCGGATCGTTTTCTTGGTCATTGTATGTATTCGTTTTTCACGCAACAGCTTCAGATCATGTGCGCATCATTCTCTCGGTCATTGTATGTATTTCGGTTTGCACGTGGTCGACCCTTACGATGGCGCGCAGCGAAACGGGAGGGAGCGTCCTTTGCGTGGTCCTGCGCCCTATGATACTCGTTATTTGGAGCTTTTGGTATTCGTTTTTTTGGCTATCGGTAGTGCTAGTTTAACTTTTGACCCTCGTCTGTCGGAGGGCAATTATAGAAATGTGATTCAGAGACCGCACGCGGTGCTGGTAGGTGTCTAGGCTCAGAACAGCGTATTACGACGGCAGGGATGGGATGCGCTATGGTGCGGCGGCTTCTTTGGGCTTCCTGTCCGATTATGTTTGAGTCTTACAGTATATGAACGGACGTGATTAGTGGTTTACACAACTGAGATCAGCGGCGGATTCAGCGCCTCTTTAAACATCCATTGAATTAGGAAGGTGGTCAGACGGTTCCCGTACGGTCCTCGATCACGGCTTTTGCTCCGCCGCCGAAGTAGAGACTGAAGGGGAGAGAAGGAGAAGTAGAGAGGAGTTTGGAAGGGGTTATGAGAATCACGGCGAGGCCTAAGAATGCGTCGAGAGAGGCGGAAAAGAAAAATAGTGTACTGTGGGTGGAGAAGCAGCAGGAATGAGGTAGGGAGCTCCTATCGAAGGCTATGAAAGTTTATCTCGGATGGTCGGTTGTCGTGAGCATGCTCATTACATGTATAGAGATCCTTGTGTCGATTTTCAGCGAGTGGATGGCGAGTTGTGCGTGGCAACTGTAAAAATTAGAGAATGATTGATGATCGTGTCTGGCTTTCAGGGGCGTGTGCTTGTCGGCGAGTGGTTTTTGGTGTTTCTTGTTTTTATGTTCTTTGGATTGCGTTGCTCATGTCGACGAGTATGCGTGACCACCATTGATGTCGTCTATGATGGCGTGTATGTCGCTTCTTGTCAAATTTTTACGCATTTTTCGGCATTTCCTGGGCGCAGTTTCGGCGTTGTGTTTTTTTTTACGCATTTTTCGGCATTTCCTGGGCGCAGTTTTGGGGTCTTTTTTTTTTTTTTTTCAACCGAAATCGGTGAGGGTGGCTATTGGCGGGAACCCGGGGTAAGGTAAGGTCCCAACTTGCACGGATTAGGAGAATCTGCCCGTCGATCTTTGCTATCTACGGTGAACATCTCTTAATTGGTGTAAGTGGGACCTAGCCCTCGGTAAGCCCTGACGATCGATTTCGGTTGGAGAAAAAACGACGAAGTCGTCGCGGCCAGGAACAGTGCAATCGCCATACGCGAGATGTCTTTCCCGTCTTCACCAGAAGAGTGCTCGGTAACTGTGTATCTGGACTGGAAGTTGCAGCAAATACAGCTATAATGACCGGGCCGTGTGGATGAGGGAGGTGGTGGGGAGAAACAACAACTCCGTCCTACGAATGGACCCGAATACAACGTACTTCCATCATAGCTGTTGTATTTCGGTGAACTTTCAGAGTAAATAGGTAGTAAATCATTATCAGTATAATAGCTGTGTATCTGGACTGGAAGTTGCAGCAAATACAGCTATAATGACGGGGCCGTGTGGATGAGGGAGGTGGTGGGGAGAACAGCAACTCGTCCTATCATTGGACCCGAATACAACGTACCGCCATTATAGGTGTCGTATTTCGGTTAGCTTTCAGTGTAAAATTGTAAATAGGTAGTAAATCATTATTTCTCGATTTATGCGTGTCATCCTTGCGCAGGGGCCATGGTAATCTTCTCTGTATCGTTCCAATTTTAACGGATGTCCCGAAGGACTAGTAAATCATTATTACTAGTAGTATAAGGGCCAGATCCCACGAGCCCCTATTGTTCATTTCTGACCGTTGATCTTCGTAATCGAGGGTGAAAAATGAATAATGCAGGGTAGTGGGATCTGACCCTAATAGCCGGGTGAACACGCGTAGTCATTCTTCCGATACAATGGGGGACGGAGGTGTGGGGAGAAAAACTACTGATCGAGGGGAAAACGGACAGCACTGCATATTCAGGGGAATGCAGTCGGAGTAATAGTCGTCGTAAAGAAGGTACTATGACCGGGGGCCATGTCCCACTACCGGGGGTTTAGTTCATGTGTTTTTTTTTGTTTTTTTTTTTGTAGTTCATGTTTCGTGTATACTTGAAACCAATCTCGACAAGTGGGACATGGACCCGGTATTGAGGGGAAAAAAAAACAACGCTCCATTCGGGGGATCACATGGGAGGACTCGTCGTAGAGGAAGAAGGTACTTCGACTGGGATAACGCTGATGGTGCTGAAAGGTGGATGGAGAATCTGCGTTTGTGCAGACAGAACGGTGGGGAAATTTTTATGGAGTAGGGGACCTTTTTGTCGAGTAGAGGGGTTGAGTTCTTTCCTTGATGGTCTGTCATCAAGGAGTTGTGGGGAGGAAGCACTGAAGCAGTGATAGCGCCATGATTCTATGGGGTGGACCCAACTTCGCCGCTTTCGTGGAGCTTCGTGGAAAAGAATTGGCGGGGGATCCTTTTTGACCCCCTACCGGTGTGGGAAAGGGTATGGAAAGTCATTCTGGACAGCATTTTAGGACCCCACTGGTTATGAAAAGAGATTGCCGAAATGGCTGACGGGGCGTTTCTACACGGTTGGCCGTCTGGAATTTTTTTTTTTTTTTTTTTTTTTTT